CAAACACGCACACGCGCACGCACACACACACACACACACCACCGATCCCGCCGACCCCGCCCCGCCCCCGCCCGCCCACCCACCCCGCCCCCCTCCCCCTGCGCGGGGGGCGCTGACGCGCGTCAGGGCACGGCTCAAAACGCTCGCGCGGCGGCAGCGTTCATGGCGATCGCCGCTTGGTGCGCGCATTCACGCGCGCGACCGCGGGCCGCCGACGCCCCCCTACATCGGCCGCGCTTGCCCGGTCGCCTTGCTTGCGTCATCTATCTCGCCCCGCCCTCGCCCACGTGCACGCCGTCGCGTCGCCGCCGCCGCCGCCGCCCGCCGCCCCGCCGCCGCCTTCCGCGCCCGCCGACCCCGCCTCGCCGCCACCGCAACGCGCGCGCGCACGCGCGCGCGCACGCACGCACGCGCATTCACGCATTCACATACAAACGCCACCATGCCTCATACACACCGCGCGCACGCACATGCGCACGCACGCGCAAACGCGCCCTTGCATCCACCCACGCGCACACGCGCGCCCGCGCCTGCCCCCCCCCCCTCTTCTTGACCGCCCACGCGCGCACGCGCGCAAAACACACGCACACACGCACACACACACATGCACACACACACACACACGCACGCACACACACACACACACCGACCCCACGCGATCCCAAAACCCATTCGCACGACTCCGACACAATTGTACTGCGCTGCAATGTGCACGCGTGGCAGTCTAGTGAACGTTAGATGTTCGTCGTTTCCAAATAGGGACTGAACATTTACGCTCGGCGTTAGCCATCGGGTTTTCGATTGAAGGTCGCCAGCCTTGTGGTTTGAGCCGTGTGTATGCGTTTTAGCGCATCTCACATTCTGAGATCGCCTTTCACTATTAGAACATGAAATTTGACACGGGGTTGTCACCATCGACTCTTCAACGCTATCGTGGCCACTATACCAGCGCAGCGCATGCGCTGCATCGTGCATGCGCTTAGCGCATTTCACATTATGATGATCGCATAGTCCGACCAGGTAATGAATTTGTGCATTGGGTTTTCACCAGCGGTTTTTCGATTCAACATATGGTCATCGTATAGGAGCGTATACACAATGCAGCGCATGCACTGCATTGTGCACGCGCTTAACGTATTTCATAGTATGATCATCGCATCTTCCGTCTAGAGAATGACAATTTACATTTGGTTTTCGCCATCTGGTGTTCGATCCCCTATCGCCCCTGGTAAGCCTGCATTTTATCGTACATCCAAGTCAGATGTTTGCTGCGCCCGATGAGATATTATAATGTTACACTGGTTTTACACCGCCGACCATCCGACTCATCATCGCACCCTTTGTTACAAAACGTTGACACAATCAGCAATCCTAGGTCACCAACACCAAGCATCACCATCACACCACTCTGTGGCAAGCACTCCTCAGCCACGAGCACAACCAACAGATAAGGCACATAGGCATGTCATTGACGTCGCGGTCACCACCTAGACACCCCCTTGTTCACGTCGCCCTTGCCGTGCACTTTGGAGGGCGACGTGCGTTTCAGGTGTTGGCTCGTAACCCCAAATGTCCCAAAATCTAAATATGCGAATGATTTCGGCGGGAAATTGATGATTCTTTTTCTGGGCCACCCCCCATCCACGCCGCCCCGCCCGCGAGCGCGCAACCGCCGCCATGGCCCGCCCGCCCGTTCGCCACCGCCCACCACCAACGACCACCGCCCTCCATTCCTTCGTTCCAGACTCGGGCCATCGCCGCGCCAATTTCATTCCCCCCCCCCATTCGCCCCCCCTTCGTATCCTTTCACTTCGCGCCCCACACCGATGTCCGCCATTCGGCCGCGCTGCTTTCCACCGCCCCACTCCCCTTCTCTTTACTTCTGTATTTCGTGCTTGCTTGTTTGTTTTTTTCTCTCCGGTACTCTTTATTTGTTTTTTCTCTCTCTCTCTCTCTATTCTCTTTCTCTCTTTTTTTTTTTTCTCTCTCTCTCTCTCTCTCTCTCTCTCTTTCTCTTTTCTCTCTCTCTCTCTCTCTCTATCTGTATTTAGTTTGTCTCTCGCGCGCGCAAGTTCGTTTGCCCCGTCTGTCTCAATCTCTTTCTTTCTCTACCGCAACTGCCGGCACGCGCGCGCATGCATATGCAAGTGCTGCGTCGATGTGCAATTGGCTACGCACCATCCATGGCGAGCTACGCAACATAATACACGAGCGCGCGCCGCGCCATTGGTGAGAGGGCGCGAAGCACATATGCACCAGCACAAACCACTTGGAACAAACACGGGCGCGGCCGCTAGGCTACTACAAGTACGCGCCGATGTAAGATGCGACACCTAACGCATGTTCTTACTTAGGCATGGTTTGTGTTCTTGGGAATCGTTCGTTGGGGGTTATTGGGGCCCTCTCGGCGTTTTGGGTTCTTGGGCTTGGGGCTCTTCCGACGGCTTTTTTTTTGGGGGGGTCTCGGGGCTCTCGGAATATTTGGGGCATCTGGGCGTTGAGGCTATTTGAACCAACGTTGGAGGAAGATTGCGCAGTCCGGAGCCCAGATGGGAACTTTCCTTGCGCGCGGACATCGTTGCTTGCTCTCTGCCCGGGCCTTCTTTGCATGTCTTCCACGCCGCGGCATTGCATTTGCTTCGTTTCAGATTATCTCCATTGCGTGCGGCATGGGGGCTGAGGCCGAGCGCTCTCGCACTGGACCGATTATACGAATAAGCCCCAGCGAGCTCCCAGTCGGGCATGAGAGGGGCGGCGCCATGCAGCTGAAGCTGGACATCCCACTTTGCATCGAAACCAGATCCACAAATCCCGGCGTTCAAATTGGGCAGCTTATTCCTCGCCTTGAGGGGGCGGATATTTCCAGGAAGAGGCCGCTGCCCCCTGAGGAGGAGGCCGCGGCCAAACCGCTGTCGCCCCCAGTTGCCGCGCGCCAGTGCGATGTGGAGCTTGCGAAGAGACAGCTTCAGAGTTGGCGCGGCGGCGACGGCTCGCCGGCGCGCGATGCACCCTCATCACCAGAAAAACACATTGAATATGAGTTTTCGCCTGGAAGCGAAAGCAGCTCGCAGGATTATTTGAAGCAGCTTCAAGCTCAGGAGCTTCAGCCGCAGTCTCTGATGTTGACCGCGACGCGCGCTAGTTATCTCATGGCAGGCAGTTGGCGCCCAGCAAGTTCGAATGGTGGTGGTGATGAGCTCGGGTCGAGTTCAAGCCCTTCTGGTGTTTACCGTCGTGCGTGTGTTGTTGATGGGAATGACCCCCACTCTCACGGTGAAAGTCCAGATCGTGATCGCATTTCCTTAAAGGATGTTGTGGGCCAGCTTGGAAATTATGCTTCGCAGTAGCTGCGAACAGTGTTTCAATGAGATCTCAGATCCTTTCCAGTACCAGACCAACCCTTAGGCACAATGTACTGATATGGAACATCAGTATCTTAAATAGTCCTGAGTGCAGAGGTGTCTCTTCATTCGATTTGTCTTTGCGCGTCGGACTCTCTCAGCCTCGCTTGTTTGTGATGTTGGGGATTCGCGCCCTTGCGAACGCCTGCTTGCGAGTGCACCATGGCCTCGCACAATTAGAAGTAGGAGACGCAATTCACTGCGCTGTGCAATGTGCACGGGTACTTCACTCAAAACCCAAGAATGCCAGTCAAACGCTATCGCGTTCACGAGCTGGCATCCACTGTGCAGCAATCATTCAAAATCATAAACCATACAGCAGCAACCACGCGCGCACGCGACGTCCCATGGCAACGAACAGCGACGCAATATGGACAATGTAACATGCTTGTGCTGAAGGGGTGTGTCGCAACACGGCTGTGCATGGTGCATCATCTTGTGAGTTCATAATGACATGCAGGCACGTTGCCATACATGTATGATGGCACTTGCGTTTAACATCAAATGCCTTACCTACGACTCTTGGGTGTTCTTTGGCTATGTGGTGCTTGGGGGTCTCCGGAAACTTTCATGGTTGGGCCTCTCTCTGTACTTTGGGGGTCTTTGGTACATGTAAGCTAACGTTGGAGCTAGACATGGGTATCTCAAGCAAGGTGACCGTGAGCCGTTGATTTGCCGCTGCGTGCGATGCTCATTTGACCGTGGCAGTGCCATTGATTGCAGTGATATTGTTTCTTTGCTTGGCTAGTCCCAGATCGACGGAATCGCGCCGGCGCCCAGAATATGGGAAGGAGGAGGAGGTGGAGGAGAACGAAAGAGAGAGAGGGGGGGAGGGGGCAGGATGAGGGAGGATGGGGAGGAGAGTTTTTAATATAAAACCACACTGTCGGTGACTTCCCGAGGCAAGTCTGCCTGCCGGGCACCACCCCCACCGCTGGGCGCGGTTGGGGGCTCGAGGCTAAACGACCAGATTTCCCGAAGTGCCCGGGGCCCTGCCCCGCGACATCTGGTGGCGCCGCAACCTCGGCAATGGCGAGCAGCTCAGCCTCTGCCAGCGGGCAGCGTCAGCCCCCTCAGGAGCTGGAGATGCTTCTGCCCGGCTTGATGGGCGCTCTGGCGTGCCCTGAGGAGCAGGTGAAGGAGGTCGCGCCCAGGCGCCTTGGCAGCAGGGCACAGTTCGACGCTAGCCGTCCCTGTCGTAGTTGTTTTGGATACGTCTTGGACCCCGTCCGTTGCCTTGGAGGGGGCGAGCGCTTCGTCGAACAGGAGGGCCGCGCCCGCAACCGAGGGGGGGCCGAGCGCGCGAACGCCGAGGAGCTCCAGGCCGGCAACGACGACGTGCAGGCGGTGACGAATGACTCCACCGAGCAGTCGGTGACCGCGAGGCTGCAGCTCTGTGAGCTCAGAATGGGTTTCTACAGCAAAGCCGTGGCCATGCTGGAGAGCACGAGCATTAAGCCGCCCCTTTTGCCCGCGGCTGCGGTGGGAATGGCTAGACCAGTGAGCGCAGATGATCCAGAAGAGCAAGGCGGCGCGGCAGATCCCGACGAAGACGGCCATGGCGCGCGAGCTCCAGACGGCGGCGGCAACGTCGACGATGGCGAGCGCATCCTTGAGTTTCAGGAGACCAAGGGCATCGGCGAGTTGTCCGTCAGGGCCCCCCTCCCGCCAGGGCCGAGTTACGGGGCGATTGCCAGGGTCAGGGGGGGGGGGGCAATCAACGAGCGCGTCGAGGAGCTCGCTGACGCAAGTTGGTTCGACAAGTTCATCATTGGTGCCATGCTCGCTTTGCACGGGCGCCCCCCTCCAGCACAAGTGTAACGTCGTTGGAAATACTCAGTTCGAAGTGCAGCTTGCCTATCACCAGTTGGACAGCCGACTTGATAAAAGGTCTCATCAGCTTATGCAAGGCAGTCAAGAGCTGGCTGGAGAGTCAGAACGATGCCACGTTGCCCGACATGCTGGAGCCGTTTGCCACCGCGCTGCCTTACTTGATGAAGGAACGCGCGTGCGTGTCGGAGGAGTTCCGCATCATCATGATATGCGCCATATCCCAAGGACTTGCGACTGAGCTGAAGTCTGTACCTCAGGCCATCGAGATGTTCGACATGACGATCTTCGACGCCTTGCAAGATCAGGGATTGTGCTCCCTCCGTGGAGACCGAATCAGGAGTCAAGGTCGAGGCCGACGCCGATGCGGCGGCTGGCGCCGTCGCCGCAGCTGCCGAGGCGCAGAGTGGCACCGGCAATGCGAGCGGGCAGGTGGACGGGGAGCAGACGAAGAGGAAGGCTCGACGACAAATAGAAGACATCCATGCTCGAGTGCCCACTTGCCAGACACCCGTCTTCTACATGTCGTGCATGGTCTCGGAGTCCGTTCGCGCGCGGTTGTCCAGCGTGCCGGCGGAGCGCGCGGAGAAGGCCACCGAGATTTAGGACATCATGCTGGATCTCCAGAAGGTCGGCAAGAGCTGGGACTTGAAGGAGAAGCAGGTCGCGACAGACATGAGCGATGCTTCATTATCAGAGGCTTCGGGGCGCCAAAGCAATACTGCCCGCCCATCGCCTTGCGCGCGCCTATTGAAGCCCAAGGCCCGAGGGCTTGCTTCCGACCCTTTCGCCTGGTTAAACATGCATGTTTTCATGTGTGAGGGGTTTCCTGCCAGTTCCAAGGTGGGGGTGGGTCGTGCATATTTGGCTCCGAAGGCTGTCAGGAGCGTTGTCGCCATTGCGAAGTGCATCTGTCACGTGGAGAGTTCCGGGCCTCCCACTATCGCAGTCAGGCAGGCAGGGATGCTAATGCACGAGTTGATCATGCAGGCCAGCTCTCAAGCTTCGGAACTCGCGCGCACCGTGCAGGCACGCCCCGTCGGCAAGGTCTTCACGGAGGCCAGCCGCAAGCACGTTGCGCAGTCGATCGAGGACGATACAGCTGCGTCAGCATTTGATATCGCATCGAAGTCGTTATAGAAGGACTTTGCGGCAGCTTATGGTGATGCAGACGGGTGGAATCATAATTTTCGGAAGGGGTCATGCCGCGTGGTCTACGCTGAAATCAGCACCGAGATCTCCAATATGCACTTCTTTTTCACCACTGCCCACAGCTCGATCAAGGCTTGGTCCGCGGCGGCTTGCCACGCGAACTTGCAGTTCGCGGCAGAGAACCTCAACAACTGCATGATCTTGATCGACGTAAGTAAATAATGATCGTTGATATTTTCGCTGAGCTCATCGTTGATATGATCCCTGGTCTCGGCGACGCGTTGATGCCTGAACCCAGCGGCCCTGCGAACGACGCGGATCTGGCGGGGAAGGGGGGTCGACGGCGAGGCCTTCGAGGAGCAGGGGCCCGAGGCCTTCGAGAACTGCAAGGCCAAGCTGGCGAACGCACCCGAGAGGCTCGAACAGGGAACCGACTTTTTCGAGGGCACCATTGACAAGTACAGGTTGCGCCTCGGTGACTTGGGCAGTAAGTAGAGGTGCTGCGCGAACCTCCTGCGCCAGCGCGCGGGCGACGCCGTTTTCGACCGCGTGGCAGAGGGAGATTTCAACCCAGTCGCGGTCGGGAACAAGCTTACTCGCATCGTGAGCGTTCTGAAGAACATGGTGTCATTCATGAATGCTTCCTGCGGGCTTGTCAGGATGCGAAAGTTCGAATAGCAGGCCCAGGAGGTGCGCGACCAGTTTGCGAGTGAGATCGTTCAGTTCGCAGGCATGGTGGGCTTCGCCCACAAGGAGGACTTCACCTTCGGTGCCCCGAGCGCCGTGACCCGCCAGGAGATCATCGAAGATGCCTTTTGCGCCTTCAAGGCGTTCGTCGGCGGTCCAGGCCCGACGGGTTGATCTCCATTGTCGTGCATCTCTCGCGGCTTGTCCCCTCCCTCCGTAGAGTAACTTTCGTTGGCTGCGCGTCGCGAGCGGCCAATAAAGGGTTACTCCTGCGGAGGAAGGGGGGCAGCGAGTGAGGCCGTCGGTTCAGATCAACCCGCCAAAGCATGCATATTTGTCCCCGAGTGCTCCGACCAGTACGTCAACGGCAAGGTCGCCGAGTTCGCTCCGACCCGGGCCTTCGCCATCCATGGGGTCAGCGATTTCGTTGTGAAAGAAGTACCTGCAGAAGAGGCTTTCGCCAGGCTGGTCACCAGTCATGGCGGCATCACGGGCGCGCTCTTGGAGAAGGTTTGCTGGGTGGGCGGGTCGACCGGTGAGGGGGGGGGGGGGGGGGGGGGGGGGGGGGGGGGGGGGGGGGGGGGGGGGGGGGGGTGGGGTGGGGGGATTTGGGGCCAATCTAGTTGCAACTTGGCGTTGGGGGGCTTGGCGTCTTTCATGCAGGCCGGGGGCGCTCGTTCCATCATGATCCCAGGGAATGCATTGAAGGGCGAGACGCAGCTCGTGGAGTCTTCCCGCGCGATGGCGCACCTGGGCCTGGTGACGCAGATGAAGGGCCTCGTGGGCTGCGCGGCGCAGTAGCATGTAAACGTGCACCAGATGCAGCAGCCCATGGACGAAACCGCCTTGTTTGGCAAGCGCGTCCACGCGCAGAGCATGACGTCGCGGATGCCGGTTCGCGTCGACGGGCCTTTGATTTCGAGCAAGACCCGCGGCTCCGAGACGACGGGCTGGACGTGTAAGATCGAGTCCCAGACCGCGCGGCAGCTCATCAAATCGCTGGCAGTGGTGCCAGGAGCTTGCAAAGAGAAGCTCCTCGCGATGGTGGCGGACTCGCCCAAGAAAAACAGTTCGAACTGCAAGGGCGCGCTTCCCGAGATGGACGCAGCGATCGACGCTGCGCTCGCATGCAACGAGAAGATCGGCAGCGCGCTCTTCAGCAGCAACACCGCGGCGAAAGTCGTCAGCGCGCGCAACGCGCTGCGCAAAAAAAATAGCACCCTGCACGGCGCGTGCGGGGAAGCCCGCGGAGGTTCACCCGAGCGTGCGGGAGCGCGACTTGACGGCGGAGGCCGCCGCGACAGCGCTCGCCCAGATGGCGAGCGGG